CCTTCCCTCCCCCCCCCCCCAAGCTCCCCTGCCAGCTCTGCTCCCCCGACCTCCTTCTGGCCAGCCCTACTCCCCACCAGCCAGTTCCCCCAGATCTCCCCTGCCAGCCCTGCTCCCCCCAACTCCCTCCTTACCAGCCCCACTTCCCCCACAGCCGGTTCTCCTCTGTGTGATCAAGTGTGTCCGGTATTTTTGTGAAAGCCATCTGGCAACTCTAAAAATTACTATGGAAACAGTGCTTCAAAGTTGTGACTTAGACTCTGGTTAGTCTAAATTCCACTCCTAGGTCTCAACGCCTGACTCTCAACTTTCCTTTTACACAGTTATTTTTAGAGCATAGTATGAGCCCTGCTAGCCCAAGTCTGTTGATCAGGCTAAGAGGTTCTTTCCTATTCAGTCCAAAATGTTGTGTAGACGTACCCACTGAGCTGTGAAACAACAAACCTATTATGGAGAAGACAGAAAAGAGAAGTCAAGGATAGAATGGACATGAAAATGAATTAATGGTTTTAGTCTCTCTCCATATCCAAGACAAGCTTTCTGATGCCATGCCAGTGGGTTGCAAACTTTTCTGGGGCTTCCCCCACCAAATGCATTTTCTTAAAGGTAGCAAATGTGAGCCTCAGTTTGAGCTTGGATATAATTATTGCGTATCATTTAGAGAGTTGGGTTATAAACAAAGTGTCCTCAAATGATTGAGTGTGAGACATGATTAATGAAGTATAGAATGAGTTGCTTGTTCATCAGAATGTTATTGTTCTGTTATGTTTCCCTGTAAGCCTGTTGAATAATACACTTTGGGATGGAATGCGATTTTGGGGGTATTTTTCAAATTACCTAGTACAAATACTGTAGTGCAATCTCTCTATCATGGAAGTTGAACTTACAAATGTAGAATTATGTAAAAAAAAAAAAAAAAAAAACCCCACCTCTACCCTGCATTCAGAAATAAAGATGTAAAACATCAGAGTGTATAAGTCCACTCAATCCTACTTCTTCTCCACTCAAACAATTTTCTTTTTACATTTTCAGGAAACAGTTCTGTCCACTTCTTGTTTAAAATGTCACTTGAAAGGGAAACCAGGCATTTGCATGGCATTGTTACAGACAGCATCATGAAATATTTCCGTAGCAGACGCACTAAATATCCATATGTCTAGTCATGTTTCAACCATCATTCCAGAGGACACACATCTATGCTGCTAATGGGTGCTGCTTGATAACCAAAGTAGTTGGGACCATTGCATGTTCCTTTTCATCACCTGAGTCAGATGCTGCCAGCAGAAGAAAGATTTTCTTTTCTGGTGGTTGAGGTGTAAGAACGTTATTTCTGCATAAGAACGTTACTCTTTTAAGAGATCTGAAAGCATGTTCCACACCTTCTCCTTCAGATTCTTAAAACTGGGGTCAAGTGCTGTAGCTATCTTGAGAAATCTCACCTTAATACGTTCTTTCCATTTTGTCAAATCTGCAGTGAAAGTGTTCTTACAAGGAGCATGTGCTGTGTCATAATCGAAGACTGCTATAACATGAAATATATGGCAGAATGTGGATAAAACAGAACAGGAGATGTACAGTTCTCCCCCACGGCGCTGCATCTCAAAATTAACACATTTTTTAATGAGTATCAAAATGGAAGCATGTCATCTGGAATGGTGGCCAAAGCACAAAAGGGCATACAAATGTTTAATATTTAATTTAATTTGGTATTCTATTTAGCAGTGCAATTAAAACTGCAATAAATTGCAGTCTTTTTAGTTAATCAAGTGAGCTAACTAAGATTAATCAACAGCCCTACTTTTTTTCAAACTGATTCTGTATTATTCAGATTACAAAGCCTGGACTTCGTGGAGATGTACAGATACAAAATAGATCTGGTGCCTTGTCAGCTGTGTTTTGTGAAAGTGAGTGCTTGACCATGTTAGAGTAATGTTCAATATATAACATCTTACACAACAGCTATTCATCACATATGCAGCACAATTTCTGTTTCTTTTCCTCCTTCCTTTCTTGTGGAGAATATTTTTCATTAAACTAGGAAAGTGTTTCTAGAGTTAGTGTGCACCTGCTGTATACTTGCCACCTACAGTTACAGTCCTCTTTGCGTAATGTTATCTCTACAACTGGAACTTTTGACACTGGTTGCATGTCATCACATCATAACGGCGCAATGTGAGTGGGTTTTGTTTTGTTTTTGAACACTTGAATGGTTATGACAACGATATGGTAGTGATAAAACAGGCCTTAAAGGATTTTTGGGACTGTTTAAACAAGTTTCAGATTTAGGACTGTCTTGCAAAAATACAGTTAGTATGATAATTCTGTCTGTTTCTACACTGTAGCTTCAGGTAAGGGAGGGAAGGACTGAAACTTAAGTTTAAAGGACTTGCTATTCTGCCTTGCAAAGGGATGAAACAAAAATGAAATATTGAGCAATGTCAGAACTGTCTTCTAAACACTTAATTTAAAAAATCACTTTACAATTTGTGCATATCTGATCGCTGTTGAACTTTAGATTTAGAAGCATTAATGTAAGCATGAAGTTATAGACTTGAACTTCCTTCACATGGGTCTTAGTTTTCCTTGAACTAGGACAACCATATGTCATATTTACAGTCTTGTGTGTTTATATGGAAATTGAACAGCTTTTCACAAATGGAATTTCCAGTGCAAATGCTAATACAGGTAGGCCCGGTCTACACTAGAAGGCAAAATTGAAATAAGGTACACAATTCTAGCTACATGAGTTACATAGCTGGAGTCGGTGTATCTTAGTTTACCTTACTGAAGTATCCCCACTACAGGTGGTGGACGGGAGCACAATCAGTAGTCAATTTAGTGGGTACTCATTAAATTCACTACATCAATCTCTGGGAGTTGGATCTCCGCTGCGTCGATCTCTTGGCAAGTGAGGACAAATCCAGGGGAGCTCCACCATTTTCCAGATCATCTAGAGCTGTGACAATTTGTTTCTATGTAAATTGTTTCTTGTTTATAACTTACTGGGTGGGTTTTGCTCAATATATGTAGCTGCTTTTCAAAGCAAAAGGAAAATTCAATTGCTAAGAAAGCAATTTCTCCTTCATTGATGTTTCCCTAACCCAGTAGTTTCAGGTCCATCTGATAGCTTGATATACCAATAACTAACACATTTGAGTTCTTGATACAAAATTCTCATCAATGCAGAAATTTTCAAAAATCACTTGCAGTGAGACTCTTTACTGAAGGTACTCTTGTAATTGAAATACAGGCTTTGGAATACAAAAATAATTAGCAATTAAACATAGTCCCAAACAGTTAAGAACTAAATGATCTAGCTACTTAAATACCTAGACTGCTCAGATCTTGGCTAATACCGTATAGTTTATAAAATGGGGAACTTTATAACTTTATGCTAGCTTTGTAACCTACAAGTAAGCATTTAAACGTGCAGTGGGGTTATCTTAGAATACAGTCTTTCTGGAAACAAGTACTTAAATCAGCCTGACTCTCTATGCTCTCCTCTACAAACGAATTCATGGTTTTTACTGAGGGTAAAGAACATTAATACATACAAGACTAAGTTGATTCACTTCTACTTTTCTCCTAATTACTGCAAGGCAGGCTTTTTAAGCCCTATGGTCTTGCCCCTCTGATTTGGATTCTGGTAAGTTGGTTGTATTCAAACCTTACTTGTATGAAGCATAATAAAAATGACACTTTCCTGTGTTTTGCTGATTTTACGTACCCAGTGGACAAAAATAACATGGCCCATAATTGTTTGTAAGTTGTTCTGTTCATCTGTTACATTACATTTCCATCTGCCTTTCCTAAGTGTTATCTACCTGTACTGCTCTTACCTTGTCATGTGATTTTTCTTGCCTTCTCTACCTGTGACTCAAATTAAATTTTCATAAATTCAGTTATAAGGTGAATGCTAGGTCAAAAACATTGATTTCTAAGCTGCCCCTTTTGAAGTCTTTGCCAACTCTGCTACTTGATGGACAAAACCCATGAGATGTGAACATGGCTGAAGGGGGTGACGGGGGGGCAACAAAAGATGCTGCTCTAGACAGTTACTCCTGACTTGCTGTGGTCCCTAGGGTAGCTAAGAGGATATGCCTAGATAAATGTCACTTACGACATGTGGAGGCAAGGCAAGAGGTATGAGAGCTTGACAGACTGGCATAACCCAGCATTTGCCCTTTAATAACAATTCCATTTTGCTGTGTTTGGATTTTCTAGGTGCACCAGAGGCTTTCTCCCTGGCAGAGTTGGAGAGTGGTCCATTGCAGTACAGTAGTGCCCTCTGATGGTGAGTTCTGGCACAGAGTTTTTGGTCTTGTTTCTGACTTTCCAACTCAAGCCACCCAGTGTGATGTATATGTTGCTTTGTTTTTTCTGGGATGCAATCAGGTTTTTCTCCATAGGCTGGAGAGGAAATATCAATGCTAAGATAAGAGCAATATGAAATATGTATCATGGTCTGTTAAAATCTAAAAAAAAATAGACTTCCCTGTATCTTTTGTTGAACTTTGGATAAATGCATGCACATAATCCTTCTAGAGCAGCTGCTTCTCCGTGAGTTTCCCCTAGTTCTGCTACCCAATGGTAGCACCCTCCCTCTGAGAAAGAAGGAAGAAGATAAAAGGATTTTTGATCATCTTTAGTTCCATTTGTTAACTTGAGAAGACAGTGGTCATTTGTTTCAGAAAGGCTTGACTAATGTTCATGCCCAGAAACCATATATCATGTCCACAGCCCACTTCACTTGCTTATGAGAACAAGGAGTCTCAAAGGTAACTCACATCTTCTTACAAAATGGCATGTAGCTTTGCCACTAAACCAATCTCTAGAATTCTTTTTCAAAACAGTTGCAGAACCACAAGGACAGCATAATTTTACTTTTACTCTTCCGGAACACTCCCTCTTCCTACTAACAAATAAGCCATAGCTTTTCATACTGGCTCCCTCCAGAGCCATCGTATGCTGCTTTTGAAATAGCTGGAAGGGGGTCACCAGTCAGGCAAAGCATCTTCTTGCCTCACCCCATCTGTGTACTTCTAGGTCAGAGAAAGTCTGAGAAAGTTGTGGAGGCAATGCAAATGATCACTGGTATTTTGTCCCAAAAAAGAGAAGATCAGAATTTACAAACTGGTATAATGGAGGCACACCTTATAAATGTTACTTTGAATTCATGTTCTTCTAGTAAGAACAAAAACATTCTCCATATTTGACACACATATTTAGATTGATTAACAGGTCATGACTGTCTTAAAGTATTGGACATGTGGTGTGAAGGTTACATGCTTTTTACATTTACATGCAATGGAAGAAATAGTTGCCACAAACAGGAGTGCATCTGAAATCTCCCACAACACAGCCATGCAGTTTTAAGCTTTTATTAATATACATCCGTGCATCCCCCACCCCCAGAAAATCCCTCTAAGTAGATGAGACTTCAAAGGCGTCATTGTCAAAGGGTCTTGTGCTAGAACTCCAGTTATATGTGCATCTGAAGAAAAAAGTTTGCAGAACACTCCTGAGGTCTTGTATCCCAGAATATGTCTGCATGTTAGTCAAAGGATACATGTGTTCCAAACTGCAAATATTTCCAGTGAGAGAATGAATAGCTCAGAAGTTTTAGATGGATCTGGGATCTTAATTACATTGGTGGATAAATATGGGCGAGACCAGCCATGGTTTGAAAAAAGTGTCCTTTGTAAAGAACTAGAGCTAACCTTTCTAATATTCATTTTTTAAAAGCTAGCTTTAAGAAAGCAAGAATATAGTTAGCCAGCCAAAAATCATGCTAATTAGTCTTCTAGAAGACTAGAATTATATGCTGTATTCAGTATTTTTAGGTAACAAATATTTAAATAGTGAATTTACTTAAAATGCAGTTGTACTAACTACTTACTCACTTGGTCTTTGCCTTGATAATTCATTCATTACTAAAGCTATTTGCTCCTTTTTTTACAGTCAAAGGGCTCGGATGCTGAGCTTTTCAATAGTGTCACTGTGTGACATAAGACAAGGGAATCTGTTGCTAAAGATGCTAATCTTTAGTGAAATTAAGGTCCTAGTGCACCAAAGACTTTATGCTACAAAATGGCAACAGAAGACTTTGATTGTTGTCTGCTTTATGTCTACATAGGGCAAGATAACTGTAGGCTAGGGCTTGTGTAGGATGGTCCAGCATGATAGTGAGAGTTGCTGCTTTTCATATACAAACTTAAATACTGTATGTAAAGTGAATACACAGAATAAAACTAGAGCTTATGATCTAAATTTAGAAACCAGATATAACCAGTTTTAAATGAACAAGGGAGGGTAAACAAAAGGAAGAACAGGTGTAATTTTGATTAAAATTATGCAATGATGTAGGATAGTTTGTGCATGACATGAGGAGTTGTGAATCATTTACTCTCTCACTGTGTACTTTGGCATTTCACATTATTCTTTCATGTAATTTTGTTAAATGTTCCACCCTAATTAATAATTTGACAGGCCCATTTTGTTTTTTCAGTGTTTACTTTCCCAAGGTAATACTGATTAATTTCCTTTAATGCATGCACTGCATTTTTTGAGACTTGAAATTTATAAGTTTTTTAAAAGTAGCAGCACTGTGTAAATGAAGTACAGGCAGTCCCTGGGTTACGTACAAGATAGGGCCGGTAGGTTTGTTCTTAGGTTGAATCTGGATGCCAGTTCTGACTTGTATACAGATTCAACTTAAGAACCCCAGGCATCCCCAAGTCAGCTGCTGCTGAAACTGATCAG